TCAGCAAGACAATTGCGAAAGTCAAGCAGAACTACGACTTCCCAGGAATCAAGCAGACGGCAGAAGAGGTCCGGGCGGAATGCGACCTCTGCAAGCGGAGCAAGCCAGGACGACACAAGCCGTACGGGCTACTACAGCCATTGCCAGTTGCAGAACGACCATGGAGTTCGGTGACGATGGACTTCATCACCAAACTACCAGCCTCCAAGGACTCAGTAACGGGAGTAGAATACGACAGCATCCTCACGATGGTGGACAGACTCACCAAGTGGAGTTACTTCCTCCCTTACAAGGAGACATGGTCAGCAGAACAACTCGCAGACGTGATCTACCGCAACATCACCTCGGTCCACGGCTGGCCGGAGGAATGGATCACGGACAGAGACACCAAGTTCGCATCAAAGTTTTGGCAGGCTCTGATGACGAGACTGGGTACGAAAAGTAAGCTCTCAACCGCTTACCACCCACAGACGGACGGACAGACGGAACGACTCAACCAGGTCGTCGAACAATACCTACGGTTGTACGTCAATTTCCAGCAGGATGACTGGGTCGAGCTGCTGCCGACAGCGCAACTCGCCTACAACACCACCGTCACGGAGACCACCAGGGTCACACCATTCTTCGCGAATTTCGGCTACGAAGCAGATTTGCGACAAGGGCCCGAAGTTTCGGTGCCCAGAGCGGCAGTCAAAGCCGACAAAATGAGCTCGCTGCACGCGATGCTCAAGGAAGAACTCGAATTCGTACGAACACGGATGAAGAAGTTCTACGACAGAAACAGGCTCGAGGGACCTCGCCTAGAGGAGGGGGGCAAAGTCTACCTCATTTCTCGAAATCTTCGCACGAAGCGACCAAGCAGGAAGCTCGACTTTCGCAAAGTCGGACCGTTCAAGATCGACAAAAAGATTTCGGAGAACAATTACGCTCTCGCGTTACCCTCGACAATGCGACTACGGACCAACGTTTTCCACATCTCACTTCTGGAACCAGCGCCCAAGGGCGCACGACTCGACAAGGACGCCGAGGCAGAAGACGAAGAGGAGGAATGGGACGTTGAGGAAGTCCTAGATTCACGCATCACGAAAGGACAGTTGGAGTATTTGGTCAAATGGCTGGACTTTGGCCCAGAAGACAATTCATGGCAACCAGCTACAAATCTCAACTGCCCCGAGAAACTTCAGGAGTTCCACCAGAGGAACCCGGATCGACCAAGGGAAACCCCGCAGACAAGTCGACCCCAGCGAGGAAGGGGTCGTCCGAAAAGAAACTAGCATAGTCAGCACGAGGACGAGAAGAAGCAGGAGAGAGAGGGGGCACACCTTTGACCCCAGGAAGGACCCAGGGGAGAAGCGACAACGGCACTCGAAGACGGCTGCGCGACGGCAGCCTCGCGGCGCTCTTGCTCCTCCAGCACCCTCCCCTCCTGGTCAAACATCCGGCGTGCCTGATCCTCCAAGGACTGGTGTTGACGGCGCAAGCGGTCAACCCGCGCGAGGGCGGCGCCTAGGGCCTGATCGGCCTCTTGACGCTCCTTGTCCAGTTGACGTTTCTGCAGGACCAAGCGTTGGAAGGCGGAACTATCGTAACCGAAGGAGTCACAATTGTTATTGTGCACCTTGGCGCATGCGGTGCAGACGTCGTCCTCAGGAGGCACGCGGCAATCAGGAATGTTCTTTTCTTTGCAACGAGAACAACGGGCCATTTCAACGGCAAACTCGTCTCGGGCGGATGCGCGATCGCGGCGGCGATCAGTACTGGATTTCTGCGATCGTTTCTTTCGCACACGGTTAGGAGGCATGATGGGTAGAGGCGCAGAAAGAAGGGAGACACCCACCCCAGGACGAAGGGAGGAGGACTAGCCGGCTCCTTATGACAAGAACCACGGAAGGGAATAAGGTCGTCGGGACGTCGACCGCGGAGGAGGGGCATCGTGTCACGGATTAGGCCCAACGCGGTCTTGGCCTGCGGGATGCGGGACGTCCCGGCCAATCATTTAAGGGTCCAACGGCCAATCGTTGCGACAAGTGAAAGCGCTCCCGACGCTCCCTCTCGAGGAAGGGAGCACGGGGAGCACTCGCCGCACTCACTGCTCACGACGCTCCCATCGCTCCTCGGGAGCATAGGGAGCAGAGGGATCAACACGTTAGATAGCAGTATATAGTCACTCGTTCTGGAGAGCTCTGGGAGTTCTCCAGTTAGCAATCACAACTACAGTTCGCTACAAGCTCGAGAGCCTACTGTTGAGACAAGTCTTTGTTGTGCACCCTTTGGCTGCACCGAACCTAAGCACCCTTGAGAGAATACCTTCGACCGATACTGAACCCTAACAGGACGGGTCCAGAGACAGGTTCGTCACATTTAGAAAAGCGATCTCTTAGATATACCAAGAGATAGATTATCAATAGAATTAACAGTTAGTTAATCTACTAAAACTGATATCCTAGATAGAGCACCGAGTAGCTAAGACATTGCTGTGTGGCTAAGCTATTATAATAAAGATTATAGAAATAGTTAAACTTAAATCTATTAAGTTAAATATAAAATATTAGATTCTATCTATCTAGTTAATAGAATTTAATTAATACTCTAGATATTATATCTATTATTAAATAGGAAATAGTAAATAAAGTCTACCTTAATACCTCTCTTTGTTAAACGGACTAGTATCTATATACTAGGGGGTAATATAAAAGAATACCCTACCTTAGCCTCTCTACTATATAGAAGTATTAGAGGTTTAAGCGGTTTTACTAAGCTGTTTTAATATTAATAGGATCTATAGACCGGAAAACGAACTTAACAGTATAAAAGCTATATTATACTGGAAGCCTCTCTAATATATAATAATCTTCTTATCAGAATAGATACTTCTTAAGATAATACTATTACTAATGGAAAATAGTTTATTATAAAGGCTCTATTAGGCTTGGAAAATGGTCCTATTAAATTAAAATTATATTCCGGCTAAAAATATATTTACTAGAATAAAATTAATTGAAATTTAATATATATTTAATAGTAGAAGATACGTTTAACACTCCTATACGATTATATAACAGGGACTCTTTCGCACTATCAATACAAGTCGAGCGGCGATCATACCCAATATCGTTTTAGTGAAAAGGATGATCCCGGTTCAAGTTGCACTTAGGCTTTTTTACAGTTTCATTGGCGGGAGAATCCCTACAACCGTTTTCACAGTAGAACTCAATCTTCACAGAGGGAAGTCTCATTTACGCCACAAATAAGTACCCGAGATCATTTTCACGTACAGTGGTGGCGCGCTATGGAAGTTATTGGCACTAAGAAGTCCCCGTGTCTGCACTGTCAGGAAGCACGTGAGCCTGTTTGCGGACCCACTCAGGTGGTCGACTTTCGACCACCTGAGTGGGTCCGCAAACAGGCTCCAATTGGCTCAGATGGAAGCGAAGAAACACAGCGAGCCCACCCCCGCGAAAGCATCCAAGCCGCTCAGCCCGTCAATATCATTCTCGGACAGAGCAGAAGCAAAGGATGATGATCAATAGAAGTGAGCTGGGTCTGACTTGTCGAGAACAAGAGGCAGGTATGGAAGCAAGGAGGGGAGTAGAGGGCGGTGCCGGCCGCATTGCAGCCAGCGGCGAGGGTGTTTCCATGACGCTGCAGGATGTCGGCGCATGCACGGATGTAGTAGTGTGTTCCTGTGTGGTGCAGATGTCTCTCGTCGTCGTCGGGAGGGACTGGCGACCACAGGACGCTGCGTGCAGCACAGAGGCGCCGTACCTGTGCTGGCAAGGTGCGTCGAAGGGCATCGATCGATCTTGGGAAGCTTAGCACCGTGTGTAGTGGCACTTGCAACTCCGGAGATCATGTCAACTTCAATCGATGACGACCACCTCGGTTGCTGGTTGAGAGATGTTCGGGTGCAAAAGCTGTGAGGCTGCTGAACCCGAACTTCAATATTGCACTCTCAGGCCGGCGGATCACGGCTCCTACCGCTAAACAGATGCAAGCTGACCGGATATCGGCTTGAAGTTTGGATAAGCTCGGCTCGGCCCCGACCTGTGGTGTAACCACTAACACCCACGTGACGACAGGACTTTGCGCGAGGGAGCTGACGTCTGAGCACCACACCCTTCACACACCGTTCACTCACTGAGAAATTATGGCTCAGATAGGTTCAGGGGCTCCAGCCTCTTTCCCGCGGTCTCCATCCTTGCACCGAACCGAAAACGGCCAAAGCGAAGTCTTGCCGCTGGAGCCCTCATCAGTTCAGGAGGATCCTCGCCAACGTCTTGCGAGGCTCGTAGGCGTTGTACAGTTGACAAGACCGCCCGCTGCCCGAAAAGCCCGGAAGTGCTTCAGGTGTTCAGTCCAGAAGTACAAGGTAGGTGACATGTCCACTGGCCTACTGCGTACATGTTTGTTGAACACCTCCGTAGTGCGAAACAGCGCCTGGAGGGGAACCTCGGTGCGCCCAGTGCATCAATCTCCAAATTCCACCATTCTTCTGCAGCCCCGAACGGGTCACAGACTTCCAGCCATTTGCAAAATGTACGTCCCTGTGCCTCACTCGCAGAACAGAGCTGACCCAGACACAGGGAAGGACGAAACATATAGGAACCTCTTCACAGGCGTGATTCTGGTCAGACCGGAGTCCCAGCGGGCGGGAGAGCTTGTGCATTACGCCCAAGGGCCTGTCCTTAAGGTTATCTGCTCTGAGTTCGTCCCGACCTACGACCATCAGGTCCGCGCCTTGATGAAGGATAGCTCGGGCTGGCATTCAGTCACAACAACAGCATTCTGCCTAGCGGACAAAGTTGATATTACCTCGCACGTCAAAGCGAGCGTTCATCTTGCGTTGGACGAAGCGCGTAATAGCGAGCACGCAGTTAGCTTAATCTTCAAGCTGGTCTGGTTTTATAGTGACGCAAGTGCCACTCCGGAGCTCCCTCACCTCACAAGATAAATATGCTAACATCTAGATAAAGCATCCGCTCATCAATGACTGCCTTGAGATGTACACAGCCCTTCGGCTGATTACCAAAGGATGCCGGTTTTCTGGGCCGGAAACGTTGGGGATGACCGTTATCGACGATCCTGTTTCGGCCTGGTACGGGCATATTCCGGTTCCTCGGATGGTAAAGAACCAGGTGAACCATCTCTTGGAATTAAAGATGATTGAACTCGATCAAAAGATTACCGACGCTCTCAACCGTCTTCTCAGTGATCGACGTCTGTGGATTGTTGGAACCCTAGCGGTGTTCCTCCTCCTCCACATCCGAGAGCTCGATGCTGGGCGGAACATATATTGGGCGCGATACAAAGACTCTGTATGCTCACTCCCAACCTACCCAGCGGTTACCTAGAAGCTGCTAATGACGTCAAGGCTGGCTTCTGGATACATCCATCCCTACCTTCGGCGCTTATTGACGAAGGAGTCGCGTCCTGTCATTCGTTGCTCCGGTACTTTCACTGTTCGTTGACCCGCCACCCACTGTGCCAGAACTGGGACGTGGAACGCTCGCAGAGGCTGGTAGGTCATGATGAAATGCTCGTAACGTCCATGAAGGCACTGCAATCTTGCGTGTCTGCAATGAGTAAGTACCGATAGCCTCCATGGGTTTTGAAGGCGCACGCTTACCAGTGAGCAGGGCAAGCAGGTTGGATTGGCCGAAACGCATCAGATTTGTATGAAGATGGGAAGCCTGACAGCGTGGGACTTACTATCAGTTCGTTAATTTTTACAGAAATGGCGGATGCGCAGGTGAAAGATTTCCATTGAGGAGAGACTTGTAGCTGGTGTACCGTAATGATGACGGTGTGCCACATACATATTGTAGTGTACTGCTACAATTATGGAAAAGCGTTGGATCCTACTCGCCGTAATACTCATCCTGCATCTTTCTCATCCCAATGTCGCTCGCGCCTACCTTAACACGGTGGGTCTTCCAGAACTCTTCCCGTTCCCTGATAATCTCCTCTGCCCAGGCCTGGGTCTCAGGTAGCGAGATCTTGGTTTCCACGTAGGCGAACTCGCTTAGATCCAAGCACCCTTCCGCGCGACGTTCGTACTCAACCATTTGGAGGAGCATCTCGATCTTATCAAGGTCTTGGACATAGCGGCTTTCCAAGGACTTGCCATCCTCGAACTCCTGCCACAGGGCCGCAAGCTCCTGTCCTGCGCCGCCACCATTGACGTTGGTGAGCACCTTCCCCTCGATATAACGCATCGTCTCGGCTTCTCTTCGATGCCTCTCCGTCTTTGGGACACCGTCCGCGGGTGTCAGATCGCCAACCAGCGTCTCGGCCGTGTCGTGGAACAGACACATCTTCATGCACTTTGCGATGTCGATCCGGCGTGCCAGAGACGGCGGCGTAGCTACTACCATCATGGCCATCCGGCACGAGTGATCTGCGACCGATTCACCCCTGAAATGAGATATAGGGTATTAGTATTTCTTGGCACGACATCCTACGGGCGAAAGTGCCATGCCTTTGGATTCCAAAGCGCCTCCATCCCGCTCGCTTCGTGGTCTTGAGACGCTCCAACAGATGGAAGAATTGAACAGGGGACGTCGAGCCCTCGACAGGTCTCGAGATAGTCTCCAGCGCCTTTGTGACAGTCTATGGGCCGTCCACTTTTGCAGTCGTAACGATGGAGGGATCGGCACCGTAGCCGCCTTTGGAATCGTTTGGTGGCATGTTGGACATGCTGAGAATGGCTGTCTCGAATGGATGGGTTGAGTCGCTCAGGAGGTGGAAGCCTGCCATTGATTGCCCAAAAAGGGATTTAGTGTCCCACATAGGCGTTTAATCTAGGGCAGGGAGACCCTGACAAACTAGGTTGTCTGCTTGAGTGGGGTATTGCTGCGTGGACCCACCGGCTGGATACTTCGGGCAGCCCCGCCTCTGTCCTGCCTCCACATGCAGGGTTCAACCAACTCCACATTCATTCCATCAAGAACCTCAGTTCCCGGAGCTGCCTTTGACAAACCGCAGAATCATGGAGACTACCGTGTCTCCGTTGGACAGGTCCCCTCTCCCGTTTCTGCATTTGATGCAGCAGCTCAAGCATCTGCCCCGAACTGGGTGGCTGAGAACGGTCGAGAATCCAGAGAGCGTCGCTTCCCACAGCTTTCGGCTCGCCCTGATGGGTTTGTTCGCGCCAGTCAGTTCGGACTTCCCAGTCCCTGTGCTCTTTTCACATGCTTACGATTCTATAGAAGGAGCTAGATAGGTCGAAGTGTATGTTTCTAGGGCTATACCACGATCTAGCGGAATCGGTTGTTGGAGACATCCCAACATATGCGGGTGTTCTAAAAGGTGCGTGTGTGTGGCTCGTTATCACCTCCAGCCCTACCTAGTGACTAAGAAGCGCCTTAGAACAAAAGCACAAGCTCGAGCGCTCTGGTTTCGAGTACATCGACAGCTTAGTGAAGCCCTACGATCCCAAACTCGCCAAAGAGATTATGGAGGCCTGGCTCGACTACGAAGAGGGAAGGACACCAGAGGGCCGCTGGATGAAGGAGATGGACAAATTTGAGTGTTTGGTACAAGCATACGAATACGAGCAGCAAACCTACGGAGAGAAGGATCTGGACGAGTTCCAGGGTCTGGCGTCCAAGATCCATTCTCCGGAAGGAAGGGAATGGTTGAAGTTATTGCAGACCGAGAGGGAGGCCCACTTCCGGAAGCGGGACAGGCGTCTTCCCGTCGTCTTTGCTCCGGGCTTACCTTCCGTTCCAGATGCCCGTGTCCAGCAGGCTTTCGCTGCCGATAAAGCTTGGCTTCAGTGTCTTTTCTTGGAGAGTGCTGTTCGGGAACGGTCCAAGGACCCCACGTTCCTCCACGCTGAGTATCTCAAGAGTTGCTTAGAGGAAGGGTTGCCTGTCCCGACAGATATGGCCAAAGGCCAGATTTGGTCCGCAAGAATTCTGGTGGTGTCTAGCCCGTTGACATCAACGATAGAGACTCGGGTCATCCGCTGATTGGTCTTTGCGTAGAAGTATTCGTCCTCGGCATCTCGCAGGATGATTTTAGTGTGGTCAAAAATGACGTCGTCACCCTTTTCAACAAAGATTTCGCCATGCTCGCAAATTTCCATCACTGTCCATGTTAGACTGATGCAAGCACTAACATTATCGAATCAAATAAGGAGTAGAGCTACCTTGCTTGGTTATGAGGGGTGACTGTAATGTTGTATTAGGGATTGTGGGAGAGGAAGCTTTCTGAGAGATAGGAGATATGAATGGGTAGAAGGAATGTTTTTTGTTATGCATTCGCGGAGTTGAAGAATTATCCGCTCCGCCAGTCGCTCACCGCCGCCACAGTGAAGAGCACGTGCAAACCTCAGCTACTACCTGCTCAAGGCTCGCGCTCCCTCTTCGCCCGCCAGTACAACAAATCTCGACCTCGAAGAGATATCCTACAGGGTCGCAGATGTCTAGTGCAGCAAGGAGGGCTGTAAGGCGTTGTTTGGCAAGAGGAATCGTGGAGCCGTCGAGAGCCAAAACTCGGTCGGAGCAAAGAAGAGAACTCTTGTTCTCGGGGACATGATCGGGCGTCTCGATCTCATGCACCATCAAGCGGGTTTGAGGAGGTAGGGAGGTAATTCGCTGTATGTGACCCGGAGGCTCATCCTGCAGAACAAACAGACATTGGACGGACTCGGACTCGCCCTATACAGCCCCCGCTCCCGGCGGGCATCCTGCAACTGTCCACCGACATTGTGTTGTACATCTGCCGCGAACGCCTGCCGCCGGCTGCCGCCGCGGCATTGGCCTTGTTCGAGAAGGTGCGGCTGTGCCTCGACGGTGCCTAGCGCCAGGAGCTGCAGCTGCTTCTCGAAAAGGACCTCGGGTACAGCTGGTGGTACTGCTACACCTGCTCCGTTCTGCATACCATCCCGGCTCAGGGGCTGACCGGCTCCGGCAGTCGCCGCCCCCTCGGTGAGCCGGACCCCCTCACGACAGCCCTTTCCTCTGCGGAAGCGGCTTCGGCATCGGCTATCAGAACGTGCGCCTTGCCACGAACCGTCTTGTTTCAAAGGTCGATTGCGGAAACTGCGGGTATGCCTATCTATCTGTCCGCCAACTTCCGGCCTTCCTCCTCTTTGCTACCCCACTGAAGGAGGCTTGCTGCTCGGCGAAACTCGACTGGCTGTCTGCATCAGGTTTCCTAAGCCCTGGGAAAGCCCTATCACCTTAGCAAGTGGTAGGATATCAAACTCCAGGTTTGACGGCAACTGATCGATGGCAGAGCAGATGTTTGGACGCTACGCACCGGCGGGCCAGAGTTGTCAGAGGGGTGGGGTCAGGCGGCTGCGGAAGGCGCGGATTTCAGCGGAGCGGTGGGCTCGGCGGCGGAGCGAGGCGGAGTCGTCACAGCAAGGATGAGGATGACACTGCTAGTGCGGTTTTTTGTGTTGTGAGCACGATCAAGATAACGGTCAATTGAATCCTATGCTATCTACCCGCCAACACCTTACGGCCTTTCTGGGCCTTATCATTTCCTCCTCTTCGGCTCACTGAATGAGGTACTCGGAGTGACGGCTTGCTGCTCGGCATTGCTCGACTGGCTGCCCCGCTCGTCAGCCACAGAAGCGCAGCTGGCATCTGACTGCATCAAGTTCCCCAAATCCTGGGAGAGCCCAGTTACCTCAGAAAGCGGTGGGATATCAAAGTTCAACTCCGACAGAGGACAGAGATGAGAGGTCACGTTATCTATACACTGTACTCACCAGAGAGCCTGCGGTACGCCCATCGTTTAGTCGAGTCGCATCCGGCTCGGAGTCTGCCTGGACGGAAACCGACTATCCAATAGAAGATTACCACAGTTGAGAGTGAGACAACCTAGCTTCTCCCACATCATTTGTTGCGCTAAACTAACGTATTGGAGTCCAAACAGGTTGGGAGAGCTTGACCGGTCCTCTATATATCCAGACCTACTGCCCGAAGCCTGCTGCCTGTAGGCCATGGCGACATGGATTTCTGCACTTCAAGGGACGTACGTACAGATCTCCCCAGCTGTCTCGCGGACTGCCTGAGCTGGCTGGCCGCCGAACCCAAATGGCATTTCCGGAGTCAGGTCGGGGCGGGGCCAGACCCGGGGCCGAAGCCGGAACTGGTGCCGAAGCCAAGGCGGAACCGTTATATCCAATTCCAATAACCCTTTCGAGTAATCATTTAGTAGCCCCGCTTTTACTTCCTCTTATCCCCTTGTCTTGCGTTGCCTTCCTCATCCTGCCCTGTGTTATCCGCTGGGGATTGTGTAGCAATGAGCTCTGCGTCGTTGTAGGGTACGCGTACGCCCTGTGTAGTCGCTGATGAGTATTCCACTTTCCGATACTGGGACGGCTAGTTAACTGTTCCAGTTTCTTTACCCCCTTTAGTGTTAGTACCCTGACCTTCTTGGTTACTACCCTACTTAGAATAGTCCTTCCCAACTATACTAGCATCCTCTTCCTTCTCTATACCCTCTTTTAGAAGGATTTCATTTACAAGGTATACTGCGGCTGTTACAACCTTAGCTGAGCTGAGCAAATAAGCTTAGGTTAGAACGATACTATAGAATAAGTAGCTCAGAATAGAAAAGAGTCCTACTAACTTATATACGAGGGGGAAACCAAACTTATTGGTAAAGACTACAGGAACGCCTTCGGCATTATACAGGTCTCTTATAAACGATTCCACAGCCGGGTTATATACTGTACTACCCGAAACAACAACAAGTGGCATTGATACCCCTACAAGGCGTAATATCTTACGTTCGGCAGTACCAAGCGGCCCATTGAGAGCTTTTCCCTAGGCCTTGTCGATATCTGTGACGAACCTGTCTCTGGACCCGTCCTGTTAGGGTTCAGTATCGGTCGAAGGTATTCTCTCAAGGGTGCGTAGGTTCGGTGCAGCCAAAGGGTGCACAACAAAGACTTGTCTCAACAGTAGGCTCTCGAGCTTGTAGCGAACTGTAGTTGTGATTGCTAACTGGAGAACTCCCAGAGCTCTCCAGAACGAGTGACTATATACTATCTAATTCCTAGGTACCTCTGTACCTGGATCTGCGTGATCCGTGGTGGGTCGTCAACAGATCCAGGAGGCCGAGCCCCTTGATCTGTTACCACTGCCGTGGTCTGTCCATAGATCATTGTAACCACCACAGATCTCCTTCTCATTGGTAGCTAGGCGTCCCGTCTTGATTGGCCCGGGACGCTGCCAGCGCGCCCCGCTGGCCGGCTGCATGTGACCATATCCGTGACACGATGCCCCTCCCCAGGTCTTCCGTCCCGGAAGGCTCGTTGGTTTTCCCCCTTCTTAAGTAGCGCCAACATTCTTTGCCTAACCCTGGTGAGTTTCGCTATCCTCTTGTCCAATCCTGCCTTCGTCGCCCGTCATGCCTCCTAACCGAGTGCGTAAACAGCGGCCAAAAACCAGCACCGAGCGTCGTGCCGATCTTGCTACTCGCATCCGTTTCTTGGGTGACGCTATGCCCCGTTGTTCCTATTGCCGAGAGCACAACTCGTCGTGTGTGGTGGCCGAAGACTCCAATCGGTGCGCCTCCTGTGTTGCTGCTAACCGTCGCGGCTGCGACTGGAACGGCATCGCGGATTCGACGATCCGTTCTTTCGCCAACGAGAAGAACAAGTTGGACTTGGAGCGTGCGGCGGCTTTGGCCGAGCAGAATCGAGTCGTGGCAGCCTTGGGTCAGGTTACGGCGAAACTGGCCCGTCTGGATTCGCAAACGCGCGCGTTTCAGGAGCGTGTTCGGAAAGCGTTTGAGCATGAGGATACCGCCATTCGGGAACTGGAGGCCGAGGAGGCGGCTGCTGTGGCCTCGCTCGCCGTTCCTTCCGTGGCTGAAGAGTTGGTCACCTCCCTCCTCAACAGACCGCCTTACTGATTATCTCCTAGGCCCTCCTTCGACGATTGGCTCGCCGGGGTCGATCCTTCTTTGATATTCCCTGTGGTCGGTCAGGGTTCCTCTGGTGGAACTCCTGAAGTTTCTCGGGGCAGTTGAGGTTGGTAGCTGGTTGCCATGAATTGTCTTCTGGGCCAAAGTCCAGCCACTTGACCAAATACTCCAACTGTCCTTTCGTGATGCGTGAATCTAGGACTTCCTCAACGTCCCACTCCTCCTCTTCGTCCTCTGCCTCGGCGTCCTTGTCGAGTCGTGCGTCCTTGGGTGCTGGCTCCAGAAGCGAGATGTGGAAAACGTTGGTCCGTAGTCGCATTGTCAAGGGTAACGCGAGTGCGTAGTTGTTCTCCGAAATCTTCTTGTCGATTTTGAACGGTCCGACTTTGCGGAAGTCGAGCTTCCTACTTGGTCGTTTCGTGCGAAGATTTCGAGAAATGAGGTAAACTTTGCCCCCCTCTTCTAGGCGAGGTCCCTCGAGCCTGTTCCTGTCGTAGAACTTCTTCATCCTGGTTCGTACGAACTCGAGTTCCTCCTTGAGCATCGCGTGCAGCGAGCTCATTTTGTCGGCTTTGACTGCCGCTCTGGGCACCGAAACCTCGGGCCCTTGTCGCAAATCTGCTTCGTAGCCGTAATTCGCGAAGAATGGCGTGACCTTGGTGGTCTCCGTGACGGTGGTGTTGTAGGCGAGTTGTGCCGTTGGCAACAGCTCGACCCAATCATCCTGCTGGAAGTTGACGTACAACCGTAGGTATTGCTCGACGATCTGGTTGAGTCGTTCCGTCTGTCCGTCCGTTTGTGGGTGATAAGCAGTCGAAAGTTTACTCTTCGTACCCAGCTTCGTCATCAGAGCTTGCCAAAACTTTGATGCGAACTTCGTGTCTCTGTCCGTGATCCATTCTTCTGGCCATCCGTGGACCGAGGTGATGTTGCGGTAGATCACGTCTGCGAGTTGTTCTGCTGACCATGTCTCCTTGTAAGGGAGGAAGTAACTCCACTTGGTGAGTCTGTCCACCATTGTGAGGATGCTGTCGTATTCCACTCCCGTTACTGAGTCCTTGGAGACTGGCAGTTTGGTGATGAAGTCCATCGTCACCGAACTCCATGGTCGTTCTGCGACTGGCAGTGGCTGCAATAGCCCGTACGGCTTGTGTCGTCCTGGTTTGCTTCGTTTACAGAGGTCGCATTCTGCTAGGACCCCTTCTGCCGTCTGCTTGATTCCTGGGAAGTCGTAGTTCTGCTTGACTTTCGCAATTGTCTTGCCGATTCCCATGTGTCCTCCGAGTCTTGACTCGTGGATCTTTCGAATGAGCTCCTTTTGGTCACCCAGCCTGACATAGGCCTTGTCGTGGTACCAGAGCCTCGTTCCTTCAAGTCGCAACCCTGCGATCTTGGATTCCGGCTCTTCTTGCCATGCATCGCGTTCGTCGTCCGCGATGATTCCTTGGAAGTCTCGTTCCAGTCGTTGTTCTCTGAAGGCCGCACAGCATTCTACAAACGGTTGCAGAGGCCTGGCTTCGGGATCTTCCGACTGTTGCTGAAGTGCTGCGATCTCGTAGTCTTCAGTCGGTTGGGAAGCGTGCCGTAGCGATCCGTCTGTCTGTTGATGTAGCAATGGTGGTGAGACTTCAGACGTGTTGTCGTGGTGATCCGCTCTCCTACTCAAGGCATCTGCTCGTGCGTTCTCTGAGCCTTTCTTGTAGTGGATCGTGAAGTTGAATTCGGACAGAAATTCTGCCCATCGAGTCTGTCGTCCGTTCAGCACCTTGGTGGTGGTGAAGTATCGTAAGTTCTTGTGGTCTGTGTACACCTGAACTTCGTGTGTCGTGCCGCTGAGGTATGGTCCCCATTCCTGAAATGCTTCGATGATTGCGAGAAGCTCCTTGTCGTGGATCGGGTAGTTGAGCCTTGGTCCTTCGAGTTTCTTGGAGAAGAACGCAACTGGATGAAGCTTGCCGTCCTTGTCTCTCTGACCAAGTTGTCCTCCGATCGCGAAGTCCGAAGCATCAGCCTCGACTTCGAAAGGTGTGCTTGGATCAGGCAGCATGAGCACCGGGTCGGCGATGATCGCATCGCGGATCCGCTGGAAAGCCTGCTCGTGCTCCTGCTTCCACTGGAATGTGGCATCCTTTTTGGTAAGTTCGTGCAGAGGTCTCGCGAAGTCGCCAAAATTCTTGATGAACATTCTGACGAAGTTGGCGAATCCGATAAATCCTCTGACCTCCGTGGCGTTCGTCGGTGTCGGCCACGTCTTGACAGCTTCCAGTTTCTCGGGTTCGATCTTGACCCATCCCGGGGAGATTTCGTAACCCAGAAATACTGTCTTCTTGACATGAAACTCGCTCTTGTCCTTGTTGACTGACAATTTGTGCTCGTGCAGTGCGTCCAGCACCTGCCGTACGTGTTTCTTGTGTTCTTCGAGTGTCTTGGAGTAGATGAGAATGTCATCCAAGTAACAGACTGCAAATTTATCGAGGCAATGTCGAATTGCGTGGTCGATAGCGGCTTGAAACGTCGCTGGTGCGTTGGTCAACCCAAATGGCATAACGAGGTACTCGTAGTGTCCGTAGGGTGTCCGAAAAGCCGTCTTCCATTCGTCTCCTTCCTTGATGCGGATGTGGGCGTACGCTGTTGGAAGGTCGAGTCGCGTGAAGTGTTGTGCTCCTGACAGCTGATCTCGAAGCCTTGAGATCAGTGGCAGCGGGTATCGGTTCTTCACCGTCTCGTTGTTCAACTGTCGGTAGTCCACACACATCCTGAGTTTCCCATCCTTCTTTGGAACGAAGAGGACTGGGTAGCCTGCTGGAGATGTCGATGGTCTGATGTGTCCTATCTCGAGGTTCTTTTCGAGATAGCTCCTCAACTCTGCATCTTGCTTCTCGTTGGTGTGGTACACCTTGAAAAATCTCAACTGGGCTCCTTCCTTGAGTCTGATCTCGTGATCCCAAGGTCCGTGGTCTGGTAGCCCTGCAAGATGTTTTGCCGTGAACGCCGGGTGCCCCTTGTAGTCGTCTGGGATCTGCCCCGTCTTTGCGTTCTTCGCCGTACCTTCGTAGTACGCGAACTTGTTGTTCCCAGGCTCGATGCTCGCTGCTTCGAGTTCCCTGACTTCTTCTGCTGCCAGCTCGATGCTTGCCGCTTCGAGCTGATTGACCCATTGTTCATGTTTGAGCATTCCGTGCTCGTCGACTGAGACGACGGCGATGGTTCGTTCCTCCCGTGCCTGCTTCTTTCGTCGTGTGCCGCTTCTTCCGGACTCCAGAGTGCGTGGTTCTGCACTGGCTGCTTCCTGCGGTGGGCCCGTAGAGGGGGTTCGTTCTGACCCGCTGCTCTCTCGTGGCTCCTGTTCTGCGCGTTCTCCCATCGAGTTGGTCGGATGCTCCCGCTGTTCCCGCGGTCGCAGATGGCCATCTCCCTTCCAACTGATGTCTGGGTCGTAATCCTCATGCCATGGGCGTCCGAGAATCATGTCTTTCTCTGGTCCCATGTTCACGATGTCAAATACCACTTGGGTGGTTTTTCCCTCCACCTCGATGTCGAGTGGTTCTGTTTCTCGTCGTACCCATTGCGTGTCGAATGGTCCCTTGACGACGTGTGGTTGCTTCTTGATCCTCCATGGGATTCTGAGTTGATTCACAAATGCGGGCGAGATGAGATCCATCTGCGCTCCTCCATCCACTAACGCGAGGGCTTCGATCTTCCCCCATCGCGCTGTGATCCAGAGCCTGTTGTCTGGCTTGGTGCTTCGTACAGCAGCTACTTCGTGTTCGTCTGCTGGGAGGTCGTTGTAAGGCTTCTGCTTGCGCCAGTTCTTCCTGTACTGCGCAGCCTGTCTTCGTTGTTGTGGAGTTAAAGATTTCCGGGCCCCTCGGAGGGCCCTGAGCCGTTTCCC